AGAGCTGTTTTCTAAAGTTATGCCTCTTTTTAATAGGACAGTGGACACTGTTTTTTGAAAAGTATAGAGTGGTTACAGGGGTGACTGCATACAGTCTAAGCATGAGTTCAAATAGAAAGAATTAGGAGATGAACCTAGAAGTGTGCCTCTCAGTACACAAAATCCCACTTTTATTTCTTCTTCTTTATTATTGGCCCCTATATTAGTTTCCTATTGCTGTTGTAACAAATTACCACAAACTTAGTGGCTTAAAACAACACAAAACATTATCTTAACATTCTGGAAGTCAGAAGTCTAAAATGGGCTTCACTGAGCTAAAATCAAGGTGTCTACAGGGCTGTGTTTCTAGAAGCTCAAGGAAAAAGTCATTTCCTTACTTTTCCAGCTGCTAGAGGCTGGCATCTTTCCTTAACTTGCCCCTTTCAAAGCCAACAACAGCAGGTCAAGTCATCCTCACACCACATTACTCTTACACTGATGCTCTGCCTCCCTTGTCCACATTTAAAGGGCCCTTGTGATTACATTGGGCCCACCAAAATAATCCAGGATAATAACCTTATCTTAAAGTCGCTTTATTAGCAAATTTAATGCCATCTGTAACCTTAATTCTCCCTTGCCATATAACATAACATATTCACAAGTTCCAGGAAATAGGTCATGGAAATTTGGGGGAGGCCATTATTTTATTTACCCTAGTCCCTAACTTTAAGAGAGGAATGTGTGCGTCAGAGAGCTAGGGTTGAAAGCTAGTCCTTCATAAGTAGCCAGGTTGAAAGACATCAGATAATATGCCTTGATGTTTTCCAACATTGCAAAGGCAAAACTCAGGTTATTGAACATTGTAAAGAAGAGTTATAGTCTATCTGGGTTCCTGAGATGGGTATACAGAAAGAAATTGGAATTACATCACGGCCCAATGAATGTAACCTCCAGACTCCGATTGTAGGATCTGGTCATGGCACTAAAAGGATTAAGTTCACATATAAGCAAACTATCAAAGGCATACTGACCTTGGGCTATCCTTACCTAGGCAAGCAGATGGCATGTCCTACTTTCCAGGTAACCTCACAGGCACCTAGAAAGCATTCCTGCTGTTTATGTTCCTGTCTCCACCATTAGACGATCTTTTTGTTGTTGTTGTTGTCTTGCACTTCGTAAGTTTTATCATCTTTATTATGTAGCTCTGTGCCTAACTCAAATACACACAGGATAGATATTTTTAAATTAACAATGAAAAAACTAAGATGCATCCATTTTGTTTTCTACTAAATCAGTGTTTCTCAAGCTATATGTGATAATGTAATTTTGAGTTTTGTTTTTTCATTTTTTGTATTTTACTTTCTTTTTGGCTGACCTCAGGTTGGGGCCCCAGGGTTCTGAGTCAGAAGCCTGTGTCCTGCCCTAGAGACTTTGGCCTCATGAACAGAGCTCTTTCCCCACACCTGGCCAGGCCCCTGGGGCAAGGCACCACTGTCCAGTGACTAGGTGGGGCAGGGAGGAGCAGAAGGGGAGGAGGTGGAGGCAGGCAGGGGAAGGCAAAGGGGGTAGAGGTGGAGGGGCTGGGGGTGGGGGGTCATCGAGATATTGAAGAGGATTGAGGTTTTCTTGATAGATGGCATGAGCTAGATTCCTTCCAAAGTCTGGAAGGTGGGGAGTCCAGGACCTGGGGCGTCCTGGTGTTCCTCCTTCCAAGACTACCCTGTGACCCCCATGGAAGTCCCTAGATCTTTTCTCTTCGAGATTTACTTCTCTCTCTCTAAAAATATAAGCCTTTCAAAACAATCAAAACAAAATAGATATGCAAATCCTCTTTACCATTACCCCATCTGCCTCCTTCCCTTCAACCTCCAGCTTCTTTTTAACATCTCCACCTTTAGCATCAACCTCATTACCTCTCAAACACTGCACTCAGAACCACACTGAACATATCTAGTACTCAGCATATACTTGTCTTTATCTGGGAAGAGTGGTCTGGGGCAGTAAAGCCTCTGACCTGATTCCACCATCCTCTGATCTGGCCCTGACTTTCAGCTCACCCCAGCCCCATCCTCTCCCTGCCCCTCTATCTGGCCCTACACTTACTCCCTCATACACAGGAAGCTACAGCATACCCTGTGGGTTCCAGCTACACTCTGTTTGCCTTCCTGGGAAACCCCACATCTTCCCACTCAGACTTGGCACAAAAAAATTGAACCAATCCAATTTTATTGTTCTGAGTTTGTATACAAAATTGTGTGCTTCAATGTCACCACAAAGTCAAATTGCTATAAAAATTTTCAAACACTCTTCCTTCCTGTACTTACTTCATCACAGATAGATAAGGAACCGTTCCCAGACCAGCACTGGTACACGGACATCGTTTTCAATAGCACTGCACAAAATCGCCCCCTTCTTCAGTTTATCTCCCGAATTTATCTTTTGGGATTAAGATCTTACCATTGAGAGGGACTAGATCATACTTCATTTTAAGGAAATCACACAGTTCTTTGCTCACAACAGCAGGGAGAGGATACAGAGGCTATGAGGGAGGGAGTACAAAAGAGACACAATGGGACTCAGCATGGGCTTTGGAGCAGGGGTGATACTGTGGTTTCCAATTGTGGCTGTGCCCACTTACTTGCTGTGTGAACTTGATCAAGTTACATAAACCCTCTGTGCATCAGTGTGTTTTTTATCAGTTGAGAATAATAATAACAATAATAATACCAACTGACCTTTATCGAATGCTTATTATTTCCAGGCCCTAGGCTAAACCTTACATGCATTAACTCTCTTAATCTCCATAACTCTATAAAATAAGCAATACTCCTATCCAGATTCTGTATGTTAGAACAATTAGCATTAAATAAATTAGGTTTCTTGCCCGGATTATACTGATAGTAGGTGGCACAGCCAGGACTTAAACCAGGGGTGTATGACACCTAAGCCCTTGCTTTCAATATAATCACTCATAGGGTTAATTCTGCAATAAGACAATACCTAAAATACCAGTTATTGTGGTTAGTATTTAGTAGATGGTATTGCAGCTTCTAACTACTACTGCTGATGCTGTTACCGCTATGGCTACCATCATCTTCACCTTTAAATGAGAAAAGCGAAGGAGACAGAAAGAGGATACAGGGAAACCCACAAACTCCTTTACCACTTCCCCTGTTTCGGAGGTCAGCCTTTGTGTACTTAAGGCACCAAAGACAATGGCTATGAAGAGCATTTCTATTTGTTTCTAAAATGTAGAGTGTAATTTAGAATTTTTTGCCATAGACTAAATTTTAAGCACCGCATATGAGTGAAAACCCCAAGACCTGAATATCCTCAAAGAGACATGTCCATTATTGAGATTATGAGATTATTGGTCACTTTACACTGCTTCCAGGACCTTCCTCCCCATGTTGATGAGAGCAGATTGGGACTTAGCCTCAACAACAACATGAATAGCTCTGGGGCTGTGTTCTCTGCTCCAGACTCAGGACTGTGATGGTTCTGGCAAACTCTTAACAGGTCCTTCCAGGGATGGTAGAACTCATCTCTCTCCAAAAACTCATAAGATTTAAATAATATTTTATATTTAAATTATTTTGTTAAATATCTGCAATGTGCTTGTGTTTCTTACAAAATTAAGAAAAAAATTGAGTATATTTTTTTTATGACCCTAAGATTAATTCAGTAAGGGCTTGTGAAACTGAAAGCAGTATTTAAATGGAAATACCTTTTTCTTGTACACACAGTCTTACTGAATTAATCCTAGCAAGGCTAAGATCTACCCTAACAAACTTCTAAAAGAGCTACTGATTTGAGTAACGGATAATGACACCACTCAAGTCACAAAGAATCTTTTGTGTTAGATTTCAATAATCAAAGAGTAAATGCTTTAGAAAAAGTCATCTAGACCATGTAAAGGAATATAAGTAGCTCACTGTATACACGTGCCTTTGTTCTTTCTATTTCCTATACTTAGTTTGTCTTCAAATAAAATCCACAGTTATTCTTTAAACTTCTGAGTGTCTCCATACTCTGTCTAACCCATTTTCTCTCTCTCCCAAGATACAGATGGTGTCCAACATTCCCCAAGAAATCTGCCTGGCTGAACCTTGGCCAACAAATGAACTGACTTGTGACTTGATATCTTCATCTGGAAACCATGCCTCACACTCTCCCTCAGAGGGATGCTGTAATTACCAAATAAGACAAGATATAAAAGGCTCTGGCTCTGTGACTTTTACTTAGTGGACACTCTATAAATACAAGTTCTCTTATTCTCCTACATTAAATATTCTTGAACACTCCTTATAGTTTCACAGCATTTCATAGTTTACAAATAATTGCACTTACATGTTTGAATTTGATTTCGTAACAACACTGGATGCCAAGTGATATTATTTCAATTTTCAAAATAAAGACATTGCAGTTAGAAGAAGGTAAGAGAATACCCAGTGTCACACATGGAAGAGCTAAAACTCACTCTTAATCTTTTGATCCCAAGTTATACAACACAGTGGGCCCCTGCTCAATTGCATACATTTATAGTCTTAATTCTAAAATTTGATCATTTTTATGATTCATATTTTATTTAATAATGTAGTATCCCAAGGTGTTCTCTTATTATTTGATGAGTATAGTTCATTTCTCCCCTATTAAGCTAATGGAGGCCATTCCTAACTTTTGAGCTTGAATGTTAAATTAAATCAATTTAAAAAGCGTAAAACTTTTGACCTGTTTCTGTTCAAAAGAGTTATTACCAAATGGAATGAGTAATATTCCCTGCCTCCAGCTGTTATATGCCAACTCATAAATGCAGGGCTACATGACCATACATTGAACAGTTCCTATAGATACCACTCTTTCTATACTAGGCGAAGGGCAGTTTGGCACAGGAATAGGAAAGTGTGCTCTGAGGACAGGGAAATCTCCTTGCCCAATTCAAATCACACAGAAAATGTGAAAAACATAAAGGTTTATTTCTCATAGTCACAGTTGAGCTTTTACAGAAGATTCTTTCTCTCTCAAGCTGGCAGACCCCAACCATCTGCAGTGATCTTGGTTTGAACAAATATCTGGATGATCTTCCTTCGTATCTCATTGGTCTTCACAGTATAGACTATGGGGTTTAGCACAGGGGGTACAAGAAGGTAGACGTTAGCCATGAGGACATGAGTCAATGGTGAAATGTGCTTTCCAAAACGATGAGTGACAGACATCCCAATGAGTGGCACATAGAAGATGAGTACAGCACAGATGTGTGAAACACAAGTGTTGAGTGCCTTCAGCCGGCCTTCCCCTGAGGCAATGGCCATTACTGTTCGGAGTATGAACGTATAGGAGAGGAGGATGATGAGGGAATCAGAACCCTTGGTGAAGATGACAGCAATGAGACCATAGAGACTGTTGACACGGACGCTGGCACAGGCAAGGCGCATGACATCTTGATGGAGACAGAAGGAGTGAGAGAGGATGTTGGACCCGTAGAAGGGGAGCCGCTTGATGAGGAAAGGTACAGGGAAGACCACACAGACCGCCCTTGTCAAGATGACAGCCCCTGTTCTGCAGACAACACCGTTGGTTAGGATGGTGCTGTACCTGAGGGGGTTCCAGATTGCCACAACCCGATCAAAGGCCATGGCCACCAGCACACCAGACTCAATGGCTGAGAAGGTGTGGATGAAGTACATCTGAACAAGGCAGGCATCATACGCGATGAACTTGTAGTTAAACCAGAATATGCCTAGCATAGAGGGCACAGTACAGAGGGCAAGTCCCATGTCTGCCAATGCCAGCATACATAGAAAATAGTACATAGGGATATGCAGGGACAATTCAGACTTGATGGTAGAGATGATGACACCATTGCCATAGAGGGCAATGACATATATAGCACCCAGTGGGAATGCCATCCAGTAATACTTTTGTTCAAGCCCTGGAATTCCAGTTAAGACAAAGTAAAGGTGTTGGAAATGGGAGTGGTTATTATCTGCCATTAAGCCAATGTGACATAGGCATGGAGAGGGATCTTGTGAGATCTTGATGGGTGACTTCCTAAAAGTACAGTGACAGGGATTAATAAGATATTAGAATCTGACTTCCCTGGGATTGGAACAATTTTATTTTCATATGAATGGGAGAGAGTGTAAGAGAGGATTGAATCCCTGAAATTACTACTCCAAGGTGTATCCTGTTGAAGAAGCTTCTACTGGCCCAAGGAAAAAGATTCACCCAAGTACAAATCAGTCATATTCAATTTAAAGCACACACTGTAGTGTCACAGCATTTGGTAACTAAACATTCTACCTCTCTTGTCCTTTCCTCCCTCATTCTAATCAATATCTTATAAGTTATTGAGTCAGAGGTTGAAGACATAATAACTAAGACATAATCAATATGAAATATAAATTATTTTTTTCCCCACAAAGGGGGCCATTCCCGCTCATCACTCTCCTTATGCCCACAACTCTCATGAAGGCAATGGATCTTATGTGTACAGCACAGATGGAAATGCCCAGTGCACATGCCTATGCTTCTATTTGAGCATGAACCACCTTCATTTCCTCTTACTGTGTCCTCAAAATAATTCTTAACACAGGACCCTCAGACGGTCACTTCTAATCATAGAAAATAAAACATATTTGTCATCTCTAATCTAGGGAAATCTTATTAGAAATGGGGGTAAACTATATTTAGGAAAGTAACAACAGTAATTCTTTTTTTGGAATAACTCTTTTGGCCAAAAAGAAGTGAGAACCCAGGGCTCACCTGAAGTTTTTTTTTCTGGATCAGGATTATCTGGCAATCTCCTATTATTAAGGCACAGTGATCATTCATAATGGCATGTTACACTCTGATTGACAGTCAGTATAGAGGTTTTAGTAGAGATTTGGAAGACACGTTCATATTGCCAGAAGTGATAACTAAATTTATTCCAAAATGCCCCTTGATGGGGTCATTCAACTTTAGACATGAATACCCGTCAGAGGTAGAGTATGCTCTCTTTGAGAAGCTCTCACCCTTAAGACACTCATTAGTTGCCTTCATCAGTTGATTGGAATCAAGTTGACTAAGAGACAATGTAGTGTTAAGAACATGGACTCTGGATCCACACATCTTGTAATCAGATTCCAGCTCCTTCTGCTCCTCAGTATAGCCCTGCATATGTAATACATGGACAATAATAATACCTACTCCATAGGGGCAGTGTGAGGATTAAAAATGTAAAGGGCTTAGAGAGCAGAATGTGTGCTTTTTATTATGATTACTTGGAATAAAAAGTTCTTCTCTTCATATGTTCTCAGTGTTGATATTGGGTTTTTATTTGTTTCTTATTTTTTGTTTTGTTTGTTTGTTTTGGATTTTTTGAGCAGAGTTCTTTGCAGTTGGTGGAAGTGAAAACTGATACGTTCCCTTCTATCAGCAAAGAATCATATTTACTTTTGTATCTCTTGTAATTTTTGAATAATTTTACCCTCTGCTCTGCAATTATTGAATATCTCACCCCCAGGCTATATATACATCTCTGGCGGACCCACACTCATGATGAATCGAAAAACACATTATAATTGTTTTTGAAATCTCACAAAAGATCCTCTTAGAAAGATTACTGATTCAGATTTCCCCAACCTTAGCCAGAGTATTTTCTCTTTAATATCCATTTCTTTCCATTGCTCTTATGAAAGACAGCTAGCTGTGGGCTCAGATATCTGGCCTATTAGATTGCTAGCATATGGTTTCTGTCCTTCCAATAAACTGTTGTTTTAGTTTTTTGTGTGTTTTAGTGATTTTTGAGAGAGAATGTTTTTATTAAGCTTTTCAAATAATTGTAATAAAGATTGAAAATGAGAGAAAAGTTTCAAGAGTAAACAAGGTAAACAAGATAAACAAACGAGGTAAACAAATGAAAGAGGTAAACAAGTGAGGTAACATTTGTAAAGAAATGTAAACAAATGAGAGAAGGGAGAGAAGATAAGGTGGGAGGAAGGAAGGAGAGAAGAGAAAGGAATAAAAAGAGAAAAACAGAGATCCAAAGAATAGCAGAACTAAAAGTTAATCTATTTCACATTTTACTAATAAAGAAATCGAAGGCTTGATAAGGAAAATAACTTCCCTGAGTCACACACCTAACTGGTAGTGAAACGGATGAGAAGGAGGTGGGGGGAAGGCACAGCCTTATTGAGGAAAATCACTGCTAAGTGCAATGAGAGCTTGAGGGTTCAATTAAAGAAAACCAAGTCAAAATTGCGTCTCTTGGCCAAGATGCTTACTCCTTAATATGGGTCCTTAGGTTTTGTTCTTTATCTATTTTGCCCAGGATCTAGAAAATAGGTAGAGTTCAAGTCCCCTGAACCCCCTGAGCATTAGGTTCATAGATCCCAAGTTCTTCCTTTGAAAGTTTCCTGTGGCCCTGAACTTCTACTGTCCATACTGCCACATTTATGGAATAACGGACTTTGTAAGTGTCTTGTATCTGCCCTCTAGGCTACCACAAGCTATATGGCCTCATTATAGATCCTAGGTTAAAGGAGCAAGTGAACAATAAAATAAAACTGCAAAATTTCTCTATTATGTGAATAGCAGCAAACACACACACGAACAAAAAAACACACTTCTGTTTGCTGTAAGTACTAGGGAAACTTTCAGGTTTCCAGGAATTATAGGATATTTGTGGATTATAGTATACGATTGGGACTAGCCGTAAAGGGAGAAGTTTATGCTTCATGATACCAGGATGTGTGATAGGCAGGGAGGACCTGAGGAAATGAAGAAAAATCCTCCTGATGTAGGGAGTAATTATAACCACCTTTCACCTGATGGTAGAGCCACAGATTTCCTTCTCAAGGGGAAAATTCCCAAACTTCAATCATTCTAGGATTCTAGATAAAAGGAATTTTAAAAGCCCAATATCTAGCAAATATAGAAACACTTACACAGTATTCTATAGGGGAGAGTTATCTTCTGCCCATATTAGTTCCAGGGACTGGGAGTTCCCTACTTTCTAAGGCCATATATTCACGATAGAGCATCAGATGTCTATTACCTCTTAGAAAAAGGTGACCTATTCACCACGAGGATAAAGAAGTTATCTTCATATCGTTCCCTTAAAGCAGATGTGAATGAGAATTCTGGCAAGAACACAAGGGCATGGAGTGCTTGGGTGGAGAATGAAGGACAAAAGAGAGATAAGGAGACACAGAAAGAAGTGGTTGGGGGACAATTAGAAACTTCAGAGATGATATCTTAAAATAGTCTGGGATAGGCCAACTTTACCCTCTGATTTTGCTCTAAAACTTACCTGGTTGATAAGAGTATCCCTAGCTGGAAGAAGATTCTTAAGCAGCCTGAGACTTGCTTGGCAAACCATTGCCTCTACCTATATGAAGACTTTTATCTCCTGAGCTGCTCCAAAACTCCTCCCTGTACCATACCATGGAGAGTTTCATAGAGCAATGAACAGGGTTATTCCCTGGGGCTTTTAAGATTGAGGAGGTCTCTCCAGGGCTCTAAAATCACCCCTTAGATTCTCTTGTCTGGGAAATGAGATAATATTGAGGAGGCTATTAGGAAAAGGCATTTGTGCGTGTGTATGCTCACATGTATGTTCATGTGTGAGTGTACGTGTGTTTGGGTGGTTGGGGACTTTCAGAGGCTGGTTACCATTCAATCAGAGTGTCTCAGGGCCATCTTAGCTAACTCATTCTTTCTACGCCCTGAAATAAATTATGGTTGCCTTTATTTTTCTCCAAACACATCAAATCTAACAAAAACATCCCGAGGACATGTGACTCCATGATTTTCCCATTCAAAAGGGATTCTAAAATTGAAATAATTCTCTAATGAATGATTTTTTCCTGAGATTTTACCTGCATTTTTCAGTTTTCAATGTCAACCTAATAAGTCTAATCACGCTCTGTGCAAAAGGAAAGCAAAAGGTCCTTCAGGGAGTCATTAATCAATGCACCAATCAATCAAGAGATAATGAATATTCCACAATATCCAACTATCACCCTCAGATAATGCTACTGTCCCCACCTACCCTCAAAATAATAATAATAACATCAGCGGCAGCATTAATAATAACAATAATAATATCTAATATTAATTCCGAGCTTTATCAGTTATATGATTTATCACATTTGCTTTATACTTTCATCATTATAATCTCCATAAATCATCATGACTTTAATACTCCGGTGAAGTGGATATGGTGAGTATTATCATCCTCATTCTTCCAAAGAGAAAAGGGGATCACACTGGGAATTGGCCCAGATTCTTAATATAATCATAAGAATTTAACTGTAGAAATTACTTAAGATAGAAATAATAGAGCAGGGGTTCCTCCCTGCCCCAGGTGTGTTCTGGACTTCTTGCATCTTGAAGGTCACCATGACCAGGTAAGGAATAAATTCTCATATAGAATGAGGCTCATATACTAGGTTCTCTTATTCACCAACCATTTATGTACATGATAATCCTAGAGTAATTTAATATTAATGCATATTACTCTTCCAATACCATAGAATCTCAATGCATTGAGTTCCTCAACTCAAATAAAATCCATGTCCTCATCATATAATCATTCCTTCAATATTGTTTAAAGTAATTAAAATACAGAATTACTCTATTGCAATATCTTAACCTCTATACTCTGTTGCTCATTATAAATGTGTCATCTTGCAGCTCAGCCATGCTGTTACTCATATTTTTCTTCTGTATTGACACTTAGGATTTTTGAGTAAATGAATTACCATAATTTTGTTCCAATCTCTCAGGCAATGTTTTTATATTTTGTTGTTTGGTTTTTGTTTTTACTTATACATGATGATGATTTGTATCTCACACGGATTCTGGTTTCTTTTATCTTAACTTTGTCATATACTGCCAAGAAAATTATAAAATTAAGCAAAAATAACCATCTCTCTTTTTATTTTAACATCTTCAAAGCTGAAAATGGATAGAGGAGACTGTGAAACAGGTCAGATTGTATGGTCCT